TTGCTCTCATAGGAGTTCAGACTAGGCAGGGAGGAGCCTGTCTCTTCCGTAATTATTAGCTTTGTGGAAAGGCTGCTGACATCAGCTGCCTAGTACTGGATAGCTTAATCAGAGTACTCACATTTCAGAGGTCTGGGGTGTTTTTGAATGGCTTTGGATGTGTTTTTACCCCTAGCTTGGGTCTTAAATGAAACCTTCACCTATGGACAGTATCCTTTCTTTGTTGTTCCTTCTGTAAAACTCTGTTGGCAGAATCACTAGTTAGTGTGTATATTTCTGTCTAGGCTAAAACAAAAGGATTCCATACAACCATTGACATTGGAGTTAAGTATGCAGAAAAACAAACAAGACGTTTTGATGAAGGAAAATTAAAAGCTGGCCAAAGTGTAATTGGTTTGCAGGTAAGTAATGCATTGCATATCAGTTACTTATTCAATGTCATTAATTCTTACCATGCAAAGCATCTCTCATAAGTAAGGAACAGATAGATATACTATAGTGTATATTTTGGGATGGATCTGCGGTTTATACAATTTATGTCCATTTAAAACCCATGAGACGATGATGGTTTTAGAAGAAGCCTCAGGCGTGCCATCTGACTTAGTAATTGTTTCTCCAGGAAATGATTTTTTTTCCTAATTACACTGTCCTATTTTTTTAAGAAAATGTACTTTATAAATTCCTAAATGTTATTGACCAAATGAAGCAATTTTAGAAAGCCTCAATACCATTTTTTTACCCTAGTAAAGCATGATTTATCAGTCCTGCGGAGTACTTTGTTCAGTTATTTTTTTCCCTTCGTGTTGTTCCCCTGCAGAGTGTCACAAAAACACCACTGCTAAATGCCTAATATGCTAAGGGCTTTACTGTCTGATACCTGCTGGATACAATGCCTCACTGTTGACTGAGTCTACATGAGTTGGGTTTATTTATTTATTTCAGCTTTATCGGGGTATAATTGACATACGGATTTATTTTTATACAGTACAAAATCATGTCAGCGGCGAGAAATTGGAAACCTGAATTTCCAGACAGTAATCAGTTGTTTAAATTGTGAGAGCTCCATAAAAGGAACTAGTAATGAAGAAAATGATACACAAGGTTCAAAGATTAAGGAAAACAAATCAGGTCGTAAAATATTGGGTTGGCTAAGAAGTTTGTTTGGGGTTTTTCAGAAGATGTTACGAAAAACCCAAATGAACTTCTTGGCCAACCCAATACTATATAGTCAGTGTGATCCCAATTTTATTTTTTAAATGAACATGCATATTTTTGTATGTATATGTATGTGTATCTGGATATGTACACAGAAACATAAGCTAAAAAAGCTAGATGGTTGGGCATCCCTGGTGGCGCAGTGGTTGAGAGTCCGCCCGCCGATGCAGGGGACACGGGTTCGTGCCCCGATCCGGGAAGATTCCACATGCCGCGGAGCGGCTGGGCCCGTGAGCCATGGCCGCTGAGCCTGTGCGTCCGGAGCCTGTGCTCCGCAGCGGGAGAGGCCACAACAGTGAGAGGCCCGCGTACCGCAAAAAAAAAAAGCTAGATGGTTATACACAAATCTTTACAATGAATGTCTAAATGGTAGGATTTCAATGATTTTTTTTCCCCTCCCTTCCTTTTTGCTTATATGTGCTTTCTTTCTCTTCTCCAGTGACAGGTTTGACTTGTAGGAATAAAGTTTTCCTTTAATAAATCTTGTTTTTTAAGGAAAAAAGACCAGCAGTAGAAATGTGTCCCCAACCAGTAGAAGAACAAGGTGTACTCGTTGGTCCTGAAGCCGTGTTATTCTCAGTGGGGAATAAAAGTTAATTATTATTCCTCTGAATATTGCTAAGTTCAGATTCTCCATTCTGCCCCTCTCTGACTCCGTCTAGTGACATGAGAATTAGAGGAATAAAATGTGGTTCTTTTCCCATGAAAATGTTGGTGATTTTAATGAAACTTAAGCCCTTGCTAAGCTGCCAGAGAAGACACCTGGCATTTACTGTCACGTTTTATGCAAAACGTGTTCGGAGTAGAAATGCATGTTGTTTAGCCAAAGATTGCTCTGTCCCTTTAAATGGCTGAAGCAGGTACCCATAAATTTGGTTATTTGTGCTAAAGAGGGTAGGGGAAAGAGTTGGAGAGGAAATTATTCATAATTCTGCCACTGTAATAACTTTTCGTGTCTGTCCTTCTCTTTCTATGTGCATATTTGTATCTGATGAATTATGTTGTGAGGCTTTATATCCAGTGAAGCTTTTGAAATTTTTCTTTTTAAAGTGAGCCCCTTGAAATTTATTTGTAAAAGCATAGATTTTGTATCTAGTTGACTGCAACCTCAGCATTGGAAGGGACTTGTCAATTGCATCCCTTCTAAGAAATCTCTTCAGTAGAACAGAAAGTTTTGTTTGTGTCATATATATTGGTGACTTCTGATAATTAGTGATTTTATTTTTAACTTAAAAGATGGGAACCAACAAATGCGCCAGCCAAGCAGGTATGACAGCCTATGGGACTAGGAGGCATCTTTATGATCCCAAAATGCAAACTGACAAACCTTTTGATCAGACCACGATTAGTCTGCAGATGGGCACCAACAAAGGAGCCAGCCAGGTAAGCAATACCTTTTTGTACTTGTTTCAAAGAGTACAAAAGGGCTATTTAAATTCACACTTACCTTATTCTTATTAACTGAGTCCAAAGCGGTTATTTTTTGTACGATATATATATATATATATATATATATATATATATGCATGCCTTCAGGAAAGTAAGATTTGCTGAGAAAGCAAAAGAGGCAAAGGGCCTTTTCTGTAGCCACACAAGTATGGTGTGGCCCATGGCTTTTATTGGCAGTTAGAATAGCTGGCCTTTCTACCTAACCAGAAGAAAAACATATGTTTATTACTGTGTTCTTGTTCCAAATCCAAATGAATTGCTCATTCTAATGCTTCTTTTAGTTTTAAAGAAGCCCTCAACGAATTTGGTAGGTAAAATCATCTGGTGTTTTACAAAGAACTCTAGCTAGCATCATGGAAAATGTGTGATTCTAAGGAGATGGAAATACAGCATGGTGAGAATGCTAGTATTCTACCACCACACGAGATGGAAGTATTTCCTGGGGAGAATAAATAGATCACCAGCACCTCGCAAGACGGTGTGCACGTAACCATATCAGAGCGGGACATGTCTTACATCCAACAGGAGTGGGGGTAAAGTTTGAAAAAGCTTTTCATCATGACCTCATGAGGTGTGGTGGTGGTGCCCTTTATGGAATATGTCCTGCCACACGGGGCAGTGTCTCAGAGCTGCCACTCAGGTTTGCTTTTTTACCGATTAAATCTGAAAGCATGTGCTTGGCGTAAGTGGAGAAACGAGGTGAGTTACAGTACCCTGAAAAGGAGGGGAGTGGGAGTAGTTGTTCTGAAATAGCTGGCTCTTTGGTGTCTCAGAGCCTTCCGAAAGACTCAAGTCCTTAAGGACTGCTCAGCATAATTTTTGTTGAATGTATTACAGACCTTTGAAACTGGTAACCTGGATAGCGTGTATGGTCATAATAGGCACTCAGATGTAGCTTTCAGGTATGCCAGCATTATGCTTTGTTTTTATATTCGTTATGTCCAATCTTCTTATGTTAAAGTAGGTAGTATTGTCTCCAGTTTGCATATGAGAAACCTAAAACTAAAAGTAAGTTAACTCGTCTGAGGCCACATAGCCATTTTATAGCAGAGCAAGGATTTGAAGTAAGGGCTGACCTTAGCTCGAAAGCCAGTGAATATTGCTTTGTAAGAGAATCAGCATCAGGCTATTTTGGTAAGCTAGCTTTACCCCTGAACCGAATGGAAGTTATTAGTGTTCACATTCGATGGGGATTTCATAATTCATAAAATACAAGAAACAAGAATAGATTTTAGCTGCTGTTTTAACTTTTATACTATGTTTTAATACCAGGCGGGGATGTTAGCACCGGGTACCCGAAGAGACATCTACGATCAGAAGCTAACATTACAACCCGTGGACAACTCGACAATTTCTCTACAGATGGGTACCAACAAAGTCGCTTCCCAGAAAGGAATGAGTGTGTATGGGCTTGGGCGGCAAGTATATGATCCCAAATACTGTGCTGCTCCCACAGAACCTGTCATTCACAATGGAAGCCAAGGAACCGGAACAAATGGGTCCGAAATCAGTGATAGTGATTATCAGGCAGAATACCCAGATGAATATCATGGCGAGTACCAAGATGACTACCCCAGAGATTACCAATATGGAGACCAAGGCATTGATTATTAGATTCACAGAGGAGCTCAGTATTTAGCCCGTTGTTTCTATTCAGTGAGAACCAAGCTAGCCTTGAGTAATTTTTATCTTGTCTTCCTAAAACACTCTTATGCTTATTGTACCTAAAGGAAATACTGCCTTACATACATTCCTTTTTCCTTTTTCTGCCTCTTCCCTAAATAGTTGCCTTTTAGTGCTGTAACAGTTAAATCCTACAGCATAACCAATAACTCACATATGAAGTAAAAAGGAATACTGTGAAAGGGGAGTACTCTTGTACAGTCAATTCTTTTATTAAAGATCTATGCATTTTTACAATCCTCTACTTAAATTGGTATTTTCAAACGATAGGAAGCTTCGTTTTTTTACAGTTTAGTATCTGGTTTCTCCGTGGAAGACTAAACTCATGCTTATAGCTAAATGTGGTCTTTGCCAACTAAATTTAAGATGCAGCATTTTAGAAATTTATATATCAATGTTTCTACAGTACTGTTTGCTAATTTTTAAATAAAGTCCTGATCAGTGTGCATTTGTGATTATATGTGTACTCTTTCTTACCTAAGCCGACAAGATCTTTTCCGAGTGGTGTTTCGAAAGGAGCATGTACAAAGCTGGCCTGCAGACATCGAGGTCTGGGGGGTGCGTTTGCTCTGCCTGTTTGTGCCAATGTATCGATGTAGAGTTGCTCTGTTTTCTTCCACTGTATTTATTGCTGCATTTCTCAGCATAAACTTATCCCATTGTATTTTTTATAAATAAATATTTTTTTTGAACATTCCTATGAGCCACAGGCTGATTATTTTCTGGCTAACTTCCAGATGGGTAGAGTCAGATTTTTTTTTTAAAGTATTCTTTCCCAGGTACTGTTATAAGATACTGGAACATTTCTTTACTGAATCTATACACCAATGCACTGAGTACTTGAGAGGGAGGCTTAGGAAACCGAAGGGACCTGCCCATCGCACACAGGAAATGCCAGCCGGGATTCAGACTATCATCTGACCTTTGCTTATTCCATTGTGACTCATCTGCCTCCAGTTCATTCTCAATCCAACTTGGAATAATCTTAAAACCATCTTGGGGAACATTGGTGGGGATGGGGTGGAGCGATTTTATATTCATATTCTAGCGTGAATAAATATTAAGAAACATACTGGATCAGGAATAGGACACGCTGTTTGATAATGAACTAGGATTTATGGTAGGAGGTGTTAGCAAAACCTAACCCTCAGTTATGATCTAGAGGAGGTCAAACAGCTAAGTGTTGTAATGATAAACAATTCAATCGCTAACACACTTTGTGACATTTTCCCAGCCAAGTGATTTCCTCTGATAGCACTGGTTCTATTAGGCCTTGGGGGGTGAAATGTGCCTGCTTGTTTTTTGCTGAGGCAGATAATGAGGACATAGCGGTGTTTGATGAACCCACAAAAGCACAGTTGACTTGCTCATCGTGCTGCAGTGACTAAGGTTAATGCCTTGGAGAAACTGCTCTGTCGTAAATCCTTTTCCTAAAGGAGACTGTCAGAGCTCAACTAATAGTCTTGTTTAAGAGGAAAGTTGTAATTTGCATTGTTAAAGGGGACCTGAGCTAGCATGCTGTTTCCTGCCCTCCAGGAAGAGGGGTTTAGGGAAACCTTATATCGCACTGCTTGCCCTGCCAAATAAGCCAGATTGGGCGTCCTGTTAGGAGAATTAGTAATTCAGTTTACCTGTTATCTAGTTGAAACGAGCCTGCCAATCAACACGTTAGATGTTCCTATTTGTTTAAAGCTTTAAAAAGGAAAAGCCGCCAGTGCACGCCCACCGTGGCCCTTTCCTCTGACCCACCACTGAATCTAAATCTGGGAATGGGGTCCAGGCAGAAGGACTTTAAACCTTCCTCCGGGCAATCTCAGGTGGGGCTGTGGTTGAAAACCCGCTTCTGCAGAACGTTTGCTAATTTGTAAGACTTAGCCTTGTACTTTTAACAAAATTTAACTCTTCACATCTGGTTAATCTTCTGCCCGTTCTATACCACGCCCATCAGGTGGTAGTTCCTTTTACACTTTCGGTTTTAATTGTCCCTAAATCTAAGAATTGTACTTTGAAAAGCTATAACATATTTAGCACATTTCCAGGAGTGGAAGAGTAGGGAAAAGTCCTCTGTACTAGGGCAACATTCCAGAGATTTTTGCTAAGGTTTATTGGTTGTGAGTGAGGAATTATCCTTTAAATTAGTTTTTACCTAATGTGCTTTTTAATTGACCACATAAACATGTTGTTAAAAGGTCTTTCAGTCCCTGTTGGTACAAAAAAGGTTGTATACTTTTATGGTTCTAGTATTGTAATGTGGTCAAATAGTGGGGACAAAAACAGGAAGAATAGGGTCCACGTTGGGCCCTGTCGTTTATTCTGCACACGGCTCTTAGGAGAAGGAAACTTTTTCCAGGTACAAATACCTGATGGGCGCGCTTATCTTACAGAGGCCGGAGTTCTGTTCCCTCTTCATTCGTTAATGAGTTCTTGTCTCTCTGTGCCCTTGCATTGTTTAATTTGTTCATCCTTTTTATAAAACTCTGAAAAACAAAAGAATGAGTTAGACCAGTGTTCTGTATCTGCACGGATTGGCAATCATATACTTGGCCATATCATTTCGGGGAATTTAATCCTTAAAGTTTTCCCTGTTGAACTAAAATATCTTGGGGGGGGGGGATGGGTAGATTTCAAAGTAGGTTTTTAATCAGAAAAGTGTAAATTGGAGAAAGAAGACCTAGTTAGCTTCCTACCACCATCAGAAGTATTTTCTTTGGAGTACATACCAAATATGTTAAAGTGCTACTGTATTTTTATGTTTTATTTGGAGAAGAATGAGGATACACTTAATTATAAAACTGTAGAAGTGCTTGTTAAACTTCAGTGCCTGGCCGGACTAAGGAGTGCTTTGCATGCTCTGTTTAAAAGCAAAAGGGCCTATGTTTTAGGGTAACAGAATGAAAGAAAATTGTTAAAATGTCACTTGACCCAGACAACAGAAAGAGATGAGAGACCTCATTCAGCTGTTAAAATATGCCTGTCTACACAGGATAAGGCAAATCAGCAACAACTGTGTTGCAAAAGCTGTTGGAAACAGCTGCCTGCTATTTCCAGATAGCAGTATGGGGGCTCTGATGAGGGTGTGACATTTCTCAACATTGTGTGCTGTGGTTAATAAAGGGCCTCAGAATCGCAGATCTGTCATACTGGCGCTGAAGGTGATTGGTCTACACTGGAGTGGGTGTTCCCTAAAATACAACGGGTATGACATGATGCTTGGGGATGCAAAAATGCCTTAGAAAAAGATCAACTGTGAAATCTCCAGACCATCCGAAAGGCCAGACCAAGCCATTAGCACCAAAGGAGACTTGCACTGCTACTCCACCCAGACCCTCCTACCCTGGGTCATTTGCTTAGTGATAATTGCTCAGTTTCACTTCTTTCCAGGGAGAAGGTTTCAATAAGGGAGGTGGGGTCAACCTCAGAAAATACAGCCCAAATCTCACTCTCAGGACATTGGGGTCATGTGGCCCTCCGGAAGAGAAAATAAGCTGGGAACCAGCCTCCTTTATGTGTGAGTCTTCAACGCTTTTGAGATTGTGAAGATGGAGTCTAAAACAGGAAATGAGATGTTTACTTACCAAAAACTCTTGGTCCATAAAGTAGGGCTTTTCTGATGATCCATCATTTGTTTCCAGATCAACAGCAAAACACAGGAAAAGTGCATCCAGCACAGTTTCAAACATAGATAAAAAACTATGGGCTACTAAGTAGGCAAAAAAAGCAACCAATAGTAGTGGGGTTGCCCACACCTGGAGCACACGGTGGTAGTTAAATGCCATCAGTCCTCCAAAAACTGTGAAACACACCACTAGCACCTGTCCAGAACAAGAGTTTGTTGAAAATGTTTATAAGTTGGTTGGTTAGGATATTTTAGAAAAGACATTTGTCAGGTATAAGCAATAGTTTTCATGTATGTGCATGTGTGGGAGTGTATGTGCCTTACTGTAAAGAGTGCTTGTCAGAAAATTGGGTACAATGAAATAGGAAGAAGAAAAATGAAAAGCTATGATACCAAAAGAAAACCCAGCTAATTTGGAGGATGAGAAGAGTATATATACTTTCATTTTATCTGTGCCCAGTTTTTGTATTTATGCAGATGTAATGGTACCTCACAAAGTTTTTAGTGTTTTTTTCACTAAATGCTACAAAAAGCATCTTCATTAAAAAAAATTTTTTTTTATAAATGCTATTTTTCTATTTTTATTTATTTTTGCGGTACGCGGGCCTCTCACTGCTGTGGCCTCTCCCGTTGCGGAGCACAGGCTCCGGACGCGCAGGCTCAGCGGCCACGGCCCACGGGCCCAGCCGCTCCGCGGCATATGGGATCTTCCCGGACCAGGGCACGAACCCGCGTCCCCTGCATCGGCAGGCGGACTCTCAACCACTGCGCCACCAGGGAAGCCCTATAAATGCTATTTTTAAAAACAACAGCACAACAACCCACTGAGTGAATATACTGTAGTTTAATATGTGAGTACTTTTACCCTGGGGATTAAAGTGGATGGGCTTTCCAATGCTGGTGTAGGGAGCTAATAGGATAATAGGCTTTTGCTATATGTAATTATTATATTTCCAGGAATATGATTACAGGCCATGATGTACCTAACTGTTTAACAGACAAATTGGAGCCCCTCTGGAGCCCGCACTGCACTTGGGTATCCATAAAGATGGACGTGAATGTCTGCATGCCACTTCATTCAAAAAAAAAAATCAGCAATTATGCGTTCCTTTTGGGAAATATAGGAAAATGAATTACTGCCTAAAATAAAATACAAGTCTGTTATAGAAGAGTAGCTCCCGCTCACTGCAACTAGAGAAAGCCCGCACGCAGCAAGGAAGACCCAATGCAGCCATAAATAAATAAATAAATTTATAAAAAAAGAAAAAATGAAACCTCCTTCCAAAAATTCTGGGAAGTAGTTATTACAAAATATATCATCCACAATCCGACCAAGCTAACGTGAACAATACCACTTAGATACAACTACAACTTAGATTATTAGGCTGTTTTGAAAGGCATAATCAGTTTGTTCTTCTAGACCTACTGTCCCATGAAAAGTCTCTGGGTCCCAGCTGTGCCTTAAAATATATGTGCAATTAACACACACCTGTGAAGTCCATGCATGTTCTAACTTGTTACTGACAGCAAACCATGACAGTAACGCACCAGAGATATACACCAAATGCCACAGAAACACAAAATGCTAACAAGGAGCCCAGGGTCCCCATATTTGGCACTGGCACAACTGGAGCCTGATAATCTTGTTCATTTTAGGGCACCACGAATGTCCCTGGCGTTCGTGTCCTATGTGGAGGACTGGCTGGAAGAAGCGAGGATGTCTATCTTAGAAGAGGGAAGATGTGGAGGGAGGGTCAGGACATCTGTGGTCAAGAATTTGAAGGGCAGTCAACTGGAAATAGGACCAAACAGGTGTGTAGAATTAAGCCCAGTGGGTGACATGGAAAGAGACACGCTAGCACAGTATAAAGAATCTTCAACTTGAGGCATGGTCAAGTAGGGGCTGCAGCACCACTTTCATCACTCTTTTAGGGATTCTTCCCTGTAACCCAGAAAGGGGATGTGTTATCTTTAGTTCACAGATAGGAAAAATGAGGTTTTCACAAGACTACATACAACTCCTTGGAAAAAGATGACAGCAGAAATGTAACTGGCTCCTTTTGGGACATTAACCATTCTATCTTTATATTTATGAATTCAATGCTCTTAAATCATCAGGTTGCAATACTATTTCCATATATTTTTATGACAAACAACCCCTATAAAACATTCATTTTCTGAGGTTAGTAGCATTTTCATTTTAGATATGAGAAAGCAGTATTCAGAATGGTGGAAAGAAATGATCATAGCTAAGAGTAAGACTAGGATTCGAATCCTAGCTCTACCTATTGTGGGATCCTGGACAAGTTATTAAACCTTAGTTTCCTCATCTGTGAAACAGGGTTACTTCACAGGATTGAGGATTAAATGAGAGGACGAGGCATAGCATCTACCACAGAGTAAGCACTCGGGAAACAGTAGTTCTCCTTAACGGTCTTGTTGTATGGCTTAATTTTTGGATCCCAAGTTCCTTTATTATTTTAGTGAAGACATCTCACCTTTCCTAGAAAAATTACGAAGTCTCCAAAGCAGTTAACAGATGTAAAATGACTTGAATTCTTGGATAAGAGCTTGAGTGCATCTTTTGCTGATGTACAAAAATCTGTCCCATTAATGGCAGTTGTAGCGTATGCATTCTGAAACAAAAGGCCGTAGTGAAAAAGATGACCAGTCTGACTGTTGTAAAGACAATATAAATGCCAATGCAGAATATTTTCAAAATAGAGAAAAATAGTTACTATTAACCCACTCTCTCTGCCCGTAACAGGTCATTTCATCTTCAAAGTCCCTTCCAGTCTCTGGAATACATACACATATATTTTCATATAATTGTAATAAATGGAAAAGATAAATAAGTATTTCTGGTCAGTGTGGTGGATTGAGCATCACCGCTACAAACACGTGGAAACGATGCGGAGAGCGTAACTATCTTAATGCACAGCAGAGTTTGAGGGGAGGAAAGAAGTTTAGGTGCTAGAAACAAAGCAGACCCTAGCTAATGGTGAGCGCTGAACCCGAAGACTCAACGGGCAGGGAATCAGTAAAGGCTTTAGGAGTGAGGGGCTGGGGATTTAACACCTTGGGGCTAAGAAACAATGCTCAGGCCCATGCCAGGAAACTGAGCTGTCTGCATAAATACAGAATTTATATTCAAACTGAATCAGCCATTCCAGGAAAGTGGTATAGAAATGCAACATCTGCCTAGGACCATTGAAATTACTAGGGTCTGGCCACAGGCAGAGCAAAACCACATCCGCCCAGGCCAGGGAATGGTGGAGGCCCACAGACAACCATCCTTGAAGAAGATGAAGAAGCCTTCACAGGAAAAATGTGCAGGTGACTCAAGGAAATGAACAGCACGTCAAACAAAAGAATCTGCACCTTGAGAACAATCTGAAATAAAGCATTGAAGGAAGCATGTTTAAGATGTTAAGGAGATAATAGAAGGAAGAGTGACCATAAAGAATGAACAGCACGGTGTAAAAAATGAAGAGGCAGTGTAGAAAACAAACGGAACAGAAATTCTAGAAATGAAAAGATATACAATTTAAATGGTTCAGTGTCATTGTTATATATCTGACTTATTTTCCTTTATATAGAAAATAAGCATTTTCATGTTGCTCCATGGCTTATTTATAATTTTAATTTTTAATAAATACATATTTTATCAGGGGTGTGTGTGTGTGTAGCTAGGGCATATTTAGACTATTTCAAATATTTGGCTGTTATAAATAACTATGCAATGAACATCTTAATTTCCTCATTTTGGATAATTTCTTAAGGATAAATTTCCAGAAATGAGATTACTAAGTCAAAGAGGACAAGTGGGTATATGTGTTCATATAAGAAGATTTCTTTGGTAATTTTTCCAATATACCTTTTCCTTATAACTATACGATCATTTCAAAACCATCTATTTCTTACATTTCCCTTGAAATCTTTAAAATGCTACTTGCACTGCAGTTTACAATTTATAACTTCCCTGGGAAAATACACTGGAATGCTACCTGCTTGGGTTTTGCCTTGCCTTTTGGCTTAAAGGATGAAAGTTTTATCTCATGATATAAAAGTAATCCTTTCATACACCCATTCAAAAACATTGTAAAGAAACCAATTTGGAGCCTACTGCAGTAATTTAGCCCCAGTGATGCAGGTCTTAAGCAAGGTGAGTTACAGAGGAGAAGGAGACTAAGGCCGTGGAATTAACTGACCCTCTCTTGGTAACCCCCTCTTCCCCAAGGCCAACTAGAGAGGAATATTTGGCTCTTAAAGATGAAAGGCTGGTATTCACCTCCCCGCACAGGGTACCCTGCTTGCCTCAGAGGGGATATTCTCAGTCAGATGTCAGATGAGGTCCCTGCAGAAATGCCTTAATGGGGCTTCCCTGGTGGTGCAGTGGTTGAGAGTCTGCCTGCCGATGTCAGGGGACACGGGTTTGTGCCCCGGTCCGGGAGGATCCCACATGCCGTGGAGCGGCCGAGCCCGTGAGCCATGGCCGCTGAGCCTGCGCGTCCGGAGCCTGTACTCCGCAACAGGAGAGGCCACAGCAGTGAGAGGCCCGCGTACCGCAAAAAAGAAAAAAAAAAAAAAAAAGAAATGCCTTAATGGTATTCCACAAGAAGTTTTGATTTCTGACTTATGTAGAATGCATGTGAAATTGCTTTTAATATCCCAAACTGGCTGTTGGTGGACTTAAGTCTTGAGTGGGGACGTGGAAACTCATTGCTCATAATTTGACCAAGCATTTTTGATCATCTAAGGTTCTCAGAGCCCTGACTACCAGCTCATTATCCTGAAGACACATGTGCAGGGTGGGTAGGTACAGACTGGAAACCAAGGTCAAAGGCATTGTCCCAGGTGCACTGGGAAATCAGGGAACTTCTGTTTTTTCATTCTAACTTTATGGACATGACACTAGCAACTTTAATTAGAACAAAAGGCTATTTAAAAGCATGGTGGTTAAGGTAAGCACAGGCCCTGTAGCCAGTCTCTGGGTTCCAATCCTGGTTCTTTTTTTTTTTTTTGGCTGCGTTGGGTCTTTGTTGCTGTGCGCAGGCTTTCTCTAGTTGCGGTGAGCAGGAGCTCTTCGTTGTGATACGTGGGCTTCTTATTGTCGTGGCTTCTCTTGTTGTGGAGCACGGGCTCTAGGTGCGTGGGCTTCAGTAGTTGCAGCACGTGGGCTCAGTAGTTGTGGCTCGCAGGCTCTAAAGCGCAGCCTCAGTATTTGTGGCGCACAGGCTTAGTTGCTCTGGCATGTGGGATCTTCCTGGACCAGGGCTCGAACCCATGTCCCCTGCACTGGCAGGCGGATTCTTAACCACTGCGCCACCAGGGAAGTCCCTCAAATCCTACTTCTTACCACCAACTGCCTGTCGGTCTTGGGCAAATGATTTAACCCCTCTCAGATCAATGTCCTGATCTGTAAAGTGAGTTATAGCACCTACTGCAAAGGGTTGTTGGGAGGATTAAAGAACAGATTCCCTATAAAGCATTTAGCAAAGCGCAGGCACATAGAAAGCATGTAATAAAGGGTGGCTATTTTCCTCCAGACCTCACCAATGATGAACTCATTTACTACTGGGAAACACAGAGGCCATTCTTTAAGCGCGGAGGAGGTGCGGAAAGGACCCGTGGTTTCTTCATCTGTAGACTTTAATCCCTCACATTTTCAGGGACCCAGGAGGGGCAGGACCTGCTTCCCAGACCACGTCCCAGGCCCCCACGTGGTCTTGCTCCACAGCGATACCCCATGCCGCTCAGCCTCTTTCTTTGCATTCGGGCTCTGTCCCCAGCCCCCCACGGCCCCACTTCTGCCCTCTGAACTGAGGTTCTTGGTGTTCTTCCTGATTCAGGCTGGGAACAGAGTTTCTGCGGGACTTCCTTTACCTACAGATCGTAACCTCATAGTCAGTTTAGCACAACTGCTTATAAGCAATAAAAATAGATTTTGCTCCCTGGCTAAAATGATTAAAGGTTAAAGTAGTACCTTCCCATGCATGTGTTGACTCCACAGATCTTGGGGGCCCATAACCATTTGTCTTTTCTTTAATGTATCATGCCCAGTGAAAGACGGCATTAAAACCACTCTGACAGGGAAATTATATATACGCCTTCCTGCAGCTACTACACCACTAGTATTTGACCACAGGTTCAACCCTGATTGCCGCAGAGAGACCTAGAATTAATGTCTGAATGAAGAACTGGAGGAGGGAAGAATTGCTCATGACACAGGATATGGATTGCGAATTTCTGCAGTTTCAGCATTAGCTAATTTATACTTATTCTGAGGAGAAGTGCTTCCTTGCCAGGCAGCTGGAAGATGGACTGCAGTAAATGTTCAGTGTTGTAAGTCCTGGCTCGGAGCATCTGCACTTGCCTGGCATGACAGAACGCTAAGGCAATCTGCAGACCCTCACAATATGTGGAAAGGATAGATATAAGGAACAGGGAACACGTTTTGTTGGCTGTGAAGGTTAATCAGGAGGTCCTGAAGCAAGAAAAAAGGAGGTAGAGGTACCAGGCTTTTATTACCAGACAAAATTCAGTGTGTCTGTTTAGCATCACCAAGCAAATGGGCACATCTGTGCCTGAGACTGAACCCGTGAAAACACAAAATCGATACAGGGAAGGATTCCCCGCTTGACTATGGAAGCACCTCAACACTAGGTTGCATTCTCATTCCTTTGCCTGGGACTGAGGACTCCCTGCACGTACAGGTGGCTTTGCTTTCAGATGCGCATGGACTGTCCACCAAGGTCTGTCACAAGCTGCAGGGGAGGGTGGGTGGAGGTCTTGTGTGGCTGGGAGGATTCGTGAACAATGAACTACGACTCAAGCTCAGGTGAGACAGCAATGTGGAGTGGAAGCCCAGCCTGGGGTGAGGGAGAGAAGAGAGCATGGGGGAGGGGAGGGGGTAGAAGACGTCACATCAGTGGCATTAGGCCGGGCCCCTGCAGGGAACGTGGGGCGGACGGGGCCAAGGCAGCAGCAGAAGGCAGTGGACTGAGACTCAGGGGTCGAGCAGAGAATTGTGGTGGGACTCCTCCAGACCCAGATCTCGGCGGGGCTGAAACGCCATGCTGTGGAGCAAGGGGAGTGACAGGAAGGTTCAGCCTGTGCTTCTGGAAGCTCTCCCAGGCTGCCCTGTGAAGGTTCAGGGCAGATCTCTCATTACTGTCTAACGCTGAGCTACAAAGCCCTGCACCTCCCAAAGCTCATTCTCACCAAAGCCCTTGGGGAGCCCCCCAGGCACTTCCACTGTGCCTCCTGGGCTCTGCTTGAGTTGCACATAAATGCCCTGTGACCACTCAAACATTGAGTTCGTTGGTGTCATTAGCAGTCATAAGCCAGGGGCCAGGCCCAAAGAAAATGAGCTCTTCTGTGGGGAGAAAATAAGAGTACTAGGAATTGTGGGACTTCCCTGGTGGCGCAGTGGTTAAGAATCCACCTGCCAATGCAGGGAACACAGGTTCGATCACTGGTCCGGGAAGATCCCACATGTCACGGAGCAACTAAGCCCGTGCGCCACAACTACTGAGCCTGTGCTCCAGAGCCCACGAGCCACAGGTACTGAGCCACGTGCCACAACTACTGAAGCCCACACGCCTAGAGCCCGTGCTCCACAAGAGAAGCCACC